CCCCCACTCCAAGAGTTATTGGTTGTTGGGATGGTGTGTTGGGGGTGTTACGAATTCATATGCGGACGTAATGAAGGAGAAAGCGACTTTGGCCTCGTGTGGCCAAGGTCCAGCCACATGCGTCACCAAAGCTAAGACTAAGTCTTTGAATAAACCTGAGCTTCCATCTTCTCAGTCACAAATGAAGATAATTCTGAACAGAATCTCTGAGCTGGAAAAAGTGATAAAGGTAAATCCAGCATCTCGTAAGCCACCAATTCCAGAGCGCATTCAGCCCTCTCGTGACCGCTGTCTCATCATCGTGAACGCGGCGGAATCGGAAAAGGCTACCTCGGCGGAACGAATGTTGGATGATCAAATACTGCTCGAGAGGATGATTTCTCTACTGTTTGATGCAGGCGAACAGGGAATAAACATTGTCTCTGCCTTCCGCCTCGGTAAGAAGCAGGAAAATTCCTCCAAGGTTCGACCCCTCAAGTTTGTATGCGGAAACGAAGAGGAGTGCGCGCGCATCCTTCGACGGACTCCACGTCTCAAAGGCGGACCTTTCTACGTGTTACGAGACCTCTCTCCCGAGGACCGAATTAAAATGAAGAAGGCTGTAGAGGAGCTCCGAACACGCCGGGCGCGTGGTGAAACCGACCTACATATCGTGGATTTTTGCGTAGTTCGGAAGAGCATAAGAGTGCGCTGGAGGCCGATTCTTCTCACCCCCAGACAGTAAAGCATAAAAACGGACTACACGTGCTATCTGCCAACGTTCGCAGTCTAAGGAATAAACTAGACGAAATTCAGTTGCTTACTTCGGAGACTCGTCCAAACCTGATGGCATTCACCGAAACCTGGCTATTCTCAGATATCACGGACTCGGAAGTGTCTATCCCTGGATATCACCACTCCCGGTCCGATCGCCACGGGGTGAGGTCAGGTGGTGGAGTAATTCTCTACTGGAAGACGGATCTCAAAGTACATCTAGTTGAAGCAATCAGTGACCAGGATGACAATTTCGAAGCCCTCTGGTGCCGTGTTCATGACGGATGCAGATCTCTCTTGGTCGGTGTTGTCTACAGAGCGCCGTCGGGTCCCGGAGCACTCTTGTTGGGCTCGATAAGAATGTATGGTGGGCACAAAGACTGTTTAATCTTGGGGGATTTCAATGCACCGGAAATCAATTGGGACCTACTTCTTTGTGATCGCCGATCTGACTCCTTCGACGCCACACTGCTTAAAACCGCTCTCGATTGCAGCCTCGTTCAACATGTCTTGACGCCTACTCGTATTTTCCCAGACCAGACCCCGCACACCTTGGATCTCGTGCTCTCCCCGGCAGATTCAGATGTCACGAACTTAACGGTTCTTCAACCCATAGGCAAGAGCGATCATTGTGTTGTTTCATTCCACTGGACTCGCCGTCTCACGATCCATAGCCACGGTGGTCACCGTCGAAACTTTTGGCGTGCCGACCCACTCCGTCTGAAAACGGCCGCAAGCGCTACGGATTGGGGTATCCCTGAACACATTCACCTCGATGACGCATGGAATCTCGTACTCTCCAAAATGACGTCGTTAATTGAGCAGGTCGTTCCTTCCTCCCATCGAAAGCCCTTCGCTAGAGGTCCACCTTGGATGGATCGAGAGTTGAGGTCAAACATGAATAGAAGGCGTAAATTATGGGACCGCTATAGGCAATCTCATTCAGAACTCGACTTCTCTCACTACAAGACAGTCAGAAATGTTTGTGTCTCAATGAAGCGCCAGAAACGCCAACGATGCGAGCTATCCTTGGCAAAACACTCCAGCATCGCGCCTAAAATGCTCTACTCTTAGTTGAAAAGAAGCACTAGAGCTGGTAATGGCATCCCTGCTTTGTGTTCCTGTGATCATCAAGCTTTACTTCACGAGGACGCTGAGAAAACTAGTCACTTGGCTAAGCAATACGCTTCTGTTTACGCGAAAGAAACGCCATTTAGTGACAGAGCCGTATCCACATTTCCATCTTCGTTGGCCCAAGTTGATATTAACACTGATTCTGTGACGAAACTTCTTCTTCAGTTAGATCCGTATAGCTCACCCGGCCCTGATGGATTGCATCCTTTGTTCCTCAGGACTGTGGCGGAGTACATAGCTTCACCCATATGTCAAGTCTTTCGTCGCTCACTAGAAGCTGGCCGTCTTCCTTCAGCTTGGAAAGTGGGTATCGTCAAACCCATTTACAAAGGAGGAAGTCGACATAACCCGGCCAATTATCGTCCAATCTGTTTGACGTCAATAGTGTGTAAAGTTATGGAACGGATCCTAAAACAAGCTGTTACTCTTCATCTTGGGGGACAGAATGTCATTTCTTCTGCCCAGCATGGGTTCAGAAAAGCAGCTCCTGTACCTCGAACTTGCTCGTTGCTAAGGAGACCTGGGCAAGGTCGCTAGACTCCGGCAAATGCTTGGACGTTGTGTTTGTTGACTTCAGCAAAGCTTTTGACAAAGTCCCGCATGAACGGCTCCTGTTTAAGCTCCAAGGAATCGGTATTTCTGGGAACCTCCTGTCTTGGATCTCCGACTTCCTAAACGACCGCTCTATGCAAGTGAAGGTGAATGACACATTTTCTGCTCCTGTTTTCATGACGAGCGGGGTCCCACAGGGCTCTGTCCTCGGCCCCGTACTTTTCAATATTTTCATCAACGACTGAACATCCACTCTTCAGACGGATTGCCTAATCTACGCTGACGACCTAAAGCTATGGATGGAAGTATTAAGCCTTGAAGACGCCGACCGATTACAAACTACGCTCAATCTACTCCATGACTGGTCGATTAAGCGGCAGTTGCCCGTAAATCGTGATAAATGCTCTGTTCTCCCCGTTGGCTCATCAAACCCATTTGGAACTTACCATATTGGTGGTTCCTTGCTCAGAAGCGCAACCTAAGAGAGGGATCTTGGAGTGATAGTGTCATCAGACCTCAAATCTATCCAAGACACCCAGAAGAGGGTCGCCGCGGCCTACAGGATGTTCCATTCTATACGTAGAGGGTTTCTCTCCTGACTCCGGGACTTTTCAGACTCCTCTTTGGCTCGCATGTACGCCCGATTCTCGACTACGGACTACCCGCTGCCTACCCTCTCACCAAATCCGAATGTGATATGATAGAGAAGGTTCAACGGCGTGGATCCAAATCCGTCCCTGAGTTGAGAGACCTGTCGTATCCACACCGACTTCAACGACTGAACTTGTTCTCTCTAGGCTACCGCCGTCACCGAGGAGATTTGATTTTCACTCGACGTATTCTCAGAGGAGAACTGGGTTGCGAGTTACAGGACTTCTTGCAACTCAACACTGAGAGTTCGACACGAGGAAACCGCATGAAACTGTTCAAACCGAGGAATCTCCGTGTGCGGCTCAATTTGGCCTTATCAACTCGCGTGGTGAATGATTGGAACCGGTTGCCGGATCCTGTTGTTGATGCTGAGACAGAGGAAAGTTTCAAACAACTGTTAGATTCTCACCTGAGCGCGCTGGGACTCTGCTGCCTCTAAGGCAGCTACAGTGGTCCACAGCGGAAACTTCTACCGCAATGAACCACGGCATCTCCGCAATGATCGGGGAGTGAAGGAGCTGACAAAGGATCTTCCTTCTGCTCTCTATCATCCAATGATCCAATAAATTGGCGCAACGAGAATGCACACGAGCCCAACAGTACTAGTTACACCTTATGTACACTTTAGAAAACACACATTTTTGAATATATATACCATTAGCTGTATTTGTCAGATAACTTGCTATACAAACTTGATTTTTGAACTTTAACTAGCTAGCTCCATGGTTTAATTATATCATTCAAAGTTCGTTGCTTGGATTTGCGTTGCCACTATTTTGAGTTTGCGCTCCCGAAATTTAAGCAACTCAATGCTGTCGAAAGTGGAAGATGAAGACACTAGTTTTGAAAAACTTGAACTTGTTGGCGTGATTGGATTTAATGGTAATCTAAGGATAGTATCATGAAATATGTGATAACAATACTAGGCAAAATACCACATTCATTAAACGTCCATCCCGACCGTCAACACTTTGTTTTTGCTCTCGGCTGTACAGTTGTTATAGAAGAAATTAACACACACAAACAAGAATTCTTACAGGGGCACACAAACAATATCGTCTGTCTAGATGTCAGCAAAAACGGTGCCTTAATTGCCTCAGGTCAAATGACATACATGGGGTATAAGGTGCAGTGTAATTATTGATCTTACCTTTTAGGCGTTAATAATAGTATGGGATTATGAAAAGAAAGCAAAATATGCAGAATTTACGTTGCATAAAGTGAAAGTCCAGGATTTATCATTCTCGCCAAATTCAATGTTTTTGGCTAGTCTTGGTGGACAGGACGACGGAAGTATTGTTATTTGGTCTTTGGAGAAAAAGGATGCAATATGTGGTAGTCCAGCACAGCATCAAAGTGCTGGAATAACATTAGCAACGGCTTATGCAAATCGTGACGACTACAAATGCGTTACTGCAGGGGAGTAAGTGAATAGCTACATACATTTTGTAAACAAGGAACACAATCCGAATTTGGAAGTTAGATCTTGAGAACAGAAAAATACGACCAACTGATTGCTCACTTGGCCAAATAAAACGGACAGTGTTATGTGTAAAGGTAAATGGCTTCTACAGATATTCCGAAACGCAGGTTCATCCTGACGATAACTTATTTTTCTGTGGAACTACTACCGGAGACATACTGGGAATTAACATGCATACGGCTTTACTTCAACTTGTTTATCCTGAAAAAAGCAAATACAGTCTCGGGATCACTACCATAACTATGATGCCTAATTCCGCCATTTTATTAGGCGCTGGAGATGGATCCGTTCAAGAATATCAAATGGGCTACACTCAAAAGGATAAACGATGTTTTCTGAGTTTAACTAAAAATAAGTAAGCATTCGTGTGGATCGTATGCCAGTGAATATGTAGGAAAAAGGGTATACAGCAGACCAATATTCGATGAACGATGCAAAACGCAGTTATAATGTATCCGTCTGAATATTTTTGACAATCATAGAGACGGAATTTGACTTCTTAAATTAACCCTAGCCTTTAGCTATGAAGCGAGAATAAATACTCTGCGACGGACACCATTTAGATAAAATCTTTGCTGGGTAAAGTTTGTCATTTTACACATCCGGTTAAAAATCCAGATATTGTATAATGGTAATACGAAATTAATAAAGGTATAAACGAATACATGCTTAGATTCTAAAATGAAAACACAAATGAATAATACATGCAGTTTACATGCGATTTATAATACCTTCACTTGCATTTAATATGAGTAGTGCTAATTTTAAATAAAATGCATAATAACCGAGCGGCATACCTGGTAGAAAACGGTCACCACCAGTCATAAGTATATGCAAACTATTAACTCCTTTCGGTTATATAACTGGTACACAAAAATTATAACAAACTAATGAATAAAATCGAACCATTTAATGGCACGCCAGGTCCGCGAGTATTATGAAGTATTTGTATGTTTTCTCACTTTAGCCCAAGTAAATATCGCATAAGCAAATGGTAATTTATTGGTAACAATAATCAAACCAGCTAAATTAGAAAATGTTACACGTCAAACCTACAATTACTGTAAAAGTGTTGCATAATTCTGACCGGTAACGCGTTTGCCTTATTGCTTTAAGTGGCCTACTTAACCTTTTTAATGAGCCCCTTTAATCTACCAATTTCCATCGCAATGCTCATTACCACTATGACAACCCAAATCGCAGTATATGTACCCAGAATACGTTGCTGCGCAAATCATAGCTAAGCAAACGGTTGCAATCAAATTGTCTTGGAAATATGTGTATGCAATAGATATCGTCAGTCGTGTGTAAAATTAGCCAAAACAAGCGTTCATATTGGTTAAATTGTAACACCGGAAACGAATGGCACACTTGTGTGTAATAATAACGTGTCACCTGTACGCCGTAACGGCGCTTCGCTGCCGTGCGACCACCATCAGTTGCACGCGGTTGAGTATACCGCAAGGATGCTCACCACTACGCAGATTCGAACCCACACCGCAAGGTTACAAGACAAGCATGTTACGCCTAGGCTACAAGCTGACGCTTGAAAAGCCAAACTAAGTGCAAAAACAGAACTGAGCAAAGTGGCCTCTAAAAATTGTAAAGTATATTAAATTTAACTACGATTCAGGCATAGCTAAATGGTTACTAATATTTATGCACAGCCTTTTAAGTTCCCCAAGTTCACAAAAGTGCACAAGCTAAACGTTAAGGTAGAACGTTGCCCACAAAATACAATTGCTTAAACAGCCAACTTAGCTAAAACGCAGTTTAAACTTGTAGCCTAATCGTAGATGCACAATGATTAAAAACCTAGCCACCTGCTTCATATCGTTAGATTAGCAAACGAGCAAATCCCAAAATGCAATAAAATATTTAACCTAAGCATGTGTTAAATTTTATTTTGGTAACGCTGCTAGTTACGTGATAGATTGCTTTGTTTTCCAAGCACTTCTAGGTGCGTGATGCAGATAGAATCCATGTAAGTGTATAGTAGGTTGGTTGATCGTGATTCTAGAAAATTCACTGCAATGTACTTGTATGTTAAATCGTTCAGAATATCGTCTTGCGGTAAACCAGACACTGCTAAATAACTCGGTTAATAATACAGTATAAAAGAAGCTTTTGTGGCTTTATAAGCGCTGAGGGGCACATTTCCTTTAAGCTACTAAAACTGGCTCAATGATAAAAGGACGCTGGTACGGCATAAAAATTACTGGATTTGTTAAAGGGTTGTTGCTGTATGTGATCTTAAAAATAAAGTGCTATAATGTTAAAAGTTTCAAGCAGATAGTGACTAACGAGGAACAAGAAAATAATTGCCGATCACTTGGTAATGCTAACAGCTGTTAAAAGCTTTTTAATAGCACTATAATAATGGTTGTTAAGTGACAAACATCTAGGACTTTGCAGCTAATTCATCATCATCACTCCCAATCAGCAGGCTTAAGTTAGTCTGGAAAAGCACCAGATACCGACGTTTCGACCTTCTGGATCTCCTCAGTGGTGCGACTCCCAGCGGATCCCTGCCGGGTTCCGCCCCCATGACTTCAGTATGCTAGCTGCTACTGCCACTTTACAATGAGTGACAGCCACGGACCTGCGTAATTGACAGTTGCCTATGATATAGTCCGGCGCATCTTTCACTGCCATGCCAGTTACAAACTGTGCAGTGGACAGTAGCTAGCCACACGAGATAGGATATTTCGCATAGTTCATATGTACGACATAGGAAATAGAAGCTATACGGACAGATTTCATATTACCGATGAGTAGTAGTAAGTGTTTTGGTATAACACAGCTGATTCATCATCGCTACGCCCAATTAGTAGGATCAGGCTAGACTGAAAAAGCACCAGCCGCCGGTGTTTTTGATAAGTTTGTTCTCGTCAGTGGTGCGCCTCCCAGCGGACCCCGTCGGGTTCCACCCCCATGCCTTCAGGATGCTTAGCCTAAGCCTACTGATTGGGAGTGAAATGATGAAGCAGCTGCAATATACCAAAAGCATCCCTACTAACAAGCAGAAATATGAAATCTGTTCGTATAGCTTCTATATCCTATGTCGTACATAGGCGCCATGCGGAACGTCCTAGCTCGTGAGGCTAGCTACTGTCCACTGCACAGTTCGTAAATAGCATAGCAGTGGAAGCTGAGCCGGGCTATACCATAGGCAACTGTCAAGTATGCAGGTCCGTGGCTGTCACCCATAGCAAAGTGGCACTAGCTGCTGGCATCTTGAAGTCATGGGGGCGGAATCCGGCAGGGATCCGCTGGGAGACGCACCACTGACGACACCCAGAAGGCCAAAACGCCGGCGCCTGGTGTTTTCTAGACTAGCCAAGGCCTGCTGATTGGGAATGATAATGATGAATTAACTGTGTTATACCCAAATCCTTACTACTATTCACCTAGGTATTTTCTAACGTTAGGTTTGACAAAAAGTTAAGTGAATGGTAACTAAACAACTATCATAAAGAACAATCAGTGATAACGGAAGCTGATATATCAGGTTGAGGAAACCAGTATACAGCCAATAAAAGCCAATAAGTCAAGCAACCGAAAGAAAGATCCCGACGAGACAAAAGAACAAAAATAATTAATGTTTCAAGCATTGTAAATTCGTTCCTTTTTATGAATTTGTTACATATTTGTTTTCGAGATTTGCTAAAATGGGAGCTAATGGACTAGCCAAATCTGCGCCGATGTAAAAAGTGCAACATGTAACAATAAGCACACAAAAATAAACGATTCTCCACTGATCTAGATTTCTTTACAGTAGCATCCCCTCAGTTTTCGAGTAGCAGATTGTAATCAATAAAAACCCCTAGGTTAAATTAATGTCTACACGACTCCATTAAAGGCTACTTCACGTCTAACAAAACATTGACAACTTTGAATCAACGGTAGCAGGCTAGCGTAACTGACCTTTGTATACAACAAGTTTAGAAATATTATTAACCGTATATAACTAAGGAAACTGGTTATTTGTGCTATGTGTAATTTTCAAAAAGTCGTCCCACCCAAATCTACAACAAAATTACTCTCAATTTTCTTTATGGTGATGGATGCATGGCGTTTGACATCTATGAGCCCCAACAAAAAATCAAATGTGTGAAAGTGCTGGACCTGGGTAAAATAAGTATTCGGAAAATTGGCTTCTCTTTATGTCATTAAGCTTCTATACATGTCAGAAACCTCACTATTTTGACATAATTAGGCTGCTCACTTATCAAAAGTACTAAGTTGTTAGTCTTTCATGTCACATGGCTAATAGGCTGCACATTAGCTAGCGTTAAAAGCTTCAATTGAAAACAAAAATTTAATACTGCAAACGAAACGTCAGAGCCAGCTTAAATCTCCTATGCGATTTATTCTATGCACGCAACTGCGCTAAGGTAAAAGCAAACGCCTCATTCTATGTTACAATTAAAAAATGTCACTTTTGTTGGGCTATTATGATGATTGCCAGAGAGGGATAAAAGACGTGTATAAGGCAACAAATCTTAGGAACTGTCAAGTCAGTATTGTAAAAAATAAATGGATTGATTTATTTACAGTCTATTAAGGCCACTGTCACTAATTCACGAGTGGAAACTTTATGTGAACCGCTCGCATAATCCGATTTATAAAAGTAATTAAATGAAAATGGCATTGTGCTTGGGTAGATTTTAATCATAACTAGTAAATAAATAAATAAATTTGTATATTTACCGACGGAAGGTACACGGCCCCATAAGTGGGAAGAGTAAAAACGTTGCGCTGGTAAGTTTAGACATAAAACACTGTGTTCGACTGTCTACTTTGAAAAGAAGAGTTTGCCTTTTTAATAGCACTTAAAATAAATGGACGGATTTCCTTTTCTTGGCCTGCAGTAAACTTTCCTTAATAAAAACTGCCTTCACTTAGGGATTATAAAATAGTACGCAAACAAGGCTACTTTATTATAAAAAGTAACTGCAATTGCGTCACAGAAGGTAGAACTACACATTGACGTATATCTTTTCTAACTACAACTTTTCTACATAATTGTTTTACCTCTTTCAGACCAGAGAAAAAACTTAAAGGTAAAGTGACGTCGATCAGCCTAAGAGGAGATGGACATCAGTTTTATGTGGCTACCGACATGTGCCACTTGTATCGTTTTGACCACGCTGACTTTAACTACGAACTAATCAACACATGCCATTATGCCGCAGTGAATGATATCAAATTTCCAAGGTAATTTTATCATCAATATGACTTAAGTCTCTCAATTGATTGCTGTTAATAATTAAAACCTACAGCTTCCAAAATCAAGTCGTCAAAAAGTAAAACCGCCTTATTTGTTTTCACGACAAGTATAGATTAAAGGAAATCAGCACTAGCCAGATGGCTATTAATAAACCAAATATGTTTGATAAATTAGTGGTGAAAAGTCTTTGAGAAACTCATGCAGGATAGGAAAAGTAATACTTAACTCTCTGCTGTTCAGGCGCAAACTAAAATCACTAACTGGGTGGATACAGTAATCAAACGATATATCGAACACTTTTTGTCAATGTAAGTTGCATTGCTAGCAGAAATGTAGCTCAGCATGATCAGACTCAGCGACGTAGCCCATGGAGATTAAGAACAGTATTTCCAAAGAAGTATATTTTATTGAGCTGCTCTTTAAAGGTTGCTACTTCATAAATACGGAATACCGTGTTGGGGAGCAAGTATTTATTCAAAGCTGTACAGTTCCATCCGAAGATAAATGAAAACATTATACAAAGTATTTGCCACCTGTGATAAAGTAATAGCTCTCCATGTTCTTATGTAATACCTAAAAGGTCTGATGTACAGTTTCACTAGGTTCACAAATTTATGATATCATCACTAATGTGCAATCGCTCACTAAGTTAGGTAGTGATGAAATATAACTGAAACAAACTTTTGGACCATTGCACAGTTTTGGCCTCTACTACTTGTTCCGGAAGACTGTACCAAACATGTACGAACCTACTTTCAAAGCACAGGGTGTGGGTTACTCGTTTCATATCCGGCCTCACAAGCTTGTGCCAGTGTCCGCCTGTATTATATGGCGTTCGCAAGAGAATCCGCGGCCTCAACATGTGACAGTCGCCGAGATGTAATATTCGGTATGTCACAATGCGATCGGCTAGCACCCTACGACGGAACAAAGTGTGTGGTCCTAGTTTCTCGAACCAGTCTTCGTAGGTTAGTAATTGTAAAACAGGAATGATCGTGGTAGCCACGTATTGGGCCCTTTCGATTTTCTGTGCCTCGCTTCGGGTGATTAGACAATAGGCAGGTGAGACGTACACTAGTAATGGTCTTATGATGGTAGAGATGAGGCGAGTGGCGACGTCATTAGACCATTCCCAGAAGTTGCACTTGCACACTCAAATCATGTGCGGTCCTTTACAATATATTCTGTTGGTGTTGTCCACGGAATTCAAATCAGAGCGCGAGAGTACACCTAGGTCATTCACGGAATGTGTGGAATGCAGCGATTGACCGTCAGCAGTGTAGAATCGTAAGTCACCACCCTTCACTAGGCTTACGTATACGGACTTGTTTGAGTTGAATGGGAGCCGGACCACTGTGAATTACATGCTGAGGTGGCTGGAGACTTGCTTAAGTAACCTGCAGTCGTCAGCTCTGCTTATCACTGCAAATCTTCAGCTCATCCGCAAACATGGAACAAGGCCACCGAAGAAGCTGAGGTAGATTGTTGATATGCGTTAGGAACAGAGTGGTTCCAACCTCGTGTTTGAGGCACTCCACTTGTAAACAGATACTAGTCAGTTAGACATCCGCCGACGTGTACCCTCTATTTTCTTCCAAGGAGAAAGTCCTGAAACCCAATGTTGTAGCAATCCACTAGCACCGCGCAATCTAAGCTTGTGCAGAAGAACACCACGGTTTACCGCGTTGGAGGCCTCTCTAAAATCGATGTAGATATGTCGTCCGACTTCCCCAGGTTCACTGCCTGCAACCATTTATACCTGGTCACCAGAAGGCTAGTAATGCACGAGCAGTCTAGCACAAAGCCCTGCGGTGCGAATGTTAGCAAATGCTTTGATTGTGACAGCTGTATAAGACGCTCTTTACGATCGTCTCGGCAACCTTGGCCAAAATAGGCGACATACAAATAGGCCTGTAGTTGTCCGCTCATCCAAGGTCATCGGCTTTCAGAATCAAATTTACCACTGAGCATTTCCAGTCGCTCTGCAACGAACCTACTGGCAGTGGCCTGGTGAACAAGTCAGTCAAAGCTGGTGAAATAGGAACCGACAAAGAGTTAATAATCAGTAGGTAGGGACCTTCAGAGCCAGCAGGTTGGGAAACATCAAGGTTAGTGAGTAGTTGAATACTTCTCAAACATGGCGAGCCGTTCTGTCCAGTACGTTAAGGGCTGCAGTGAACTCGGTACGGTACTTGGTCAATTGACACCGCGGAAGCAAACTGCACTGCCAATGAAAAAACACGCTCAGTGCTGCAGGTCAGGGGCTGTCCGTCCAAGCCCCCTAGAACTGGCAGATCAGCTGCCGGCTTGAGGCGTCGCTTCGGACAAGCAAAAATTCTCTTCGGTACGATCTATGCCACAGCTGCGAGCCGCTGTTCCAAATGCTGACGTTTGCTCCTTTTTTACACCTTTGCAAATATAAAGCTGCCAATTATACGCCTCGTGTTCAAAGGTATGGCCGAAAATAAGAAATTTTCCTACAAATTTCGCTGCTGCCAAGAAATTTACCATACGCTTGATAGTTTTAACCTTATGAAAATTCCACGGCACAAATTGAGAGCACAGCAATAACACACCCTCAGTTATAAGAGTCTAACAACCTCCCAACAATATAGCATGTAGTAAGGAATAACCCACTTGGCTCGCGACTTGAATCAGGTCATCGAAGTCAGTTTTCCAATAGCTGCCAGCTAGCACCCGCGGGCAAGCATATGGGAAAGGCATATACATTCTGGCCACGGGCAGTGTGTGGTCGCTTGCTTCTAGGACCTCTAGAATCTAAACGTTATACACACGTACTTTACGGCTTTTTAACAGCAATTCCAGGTACGACAGTGTTGAGTGCTGCGTTATACGTGTAGGCTGGTATATGAGCTGCGCTGCTTCACTTTCAAGTAGCAGGTCTAAGTAAGTTGCTTCGACGTCGCAATATCCAGAAATGCGTCGGACTTCATACCAACGTACTCGAGGACAATTGAAAGCACCTGTGAGTAGAAAATAGAGGCGGTTCATGTAGCTTCGAAGATACAGCAGCCAATTCTAGCAACTGTTCCGTGGACTGCGACGAGCTACATTCTCGAACATCACACAGGGCCTGAAGTGGACCGAGCACAACAGCTGGTCACTCAGATGCTCGTTACCCTTGTAAACGATCACGAATCTTCCACACACAAGAACGGATGTAAAGCAAGACGCCACCGCGGGCAGTTTAAACTCTATTGCAGCTGAAGCATGATTAGCTACTGAGCTTGATTTCCTTCGCAATGGCCTCCGAATTTAGCAATTTATCTGCGAGTCTCCCTACGTCTGGCCACGTAGATGCAACGAAATAACGGAGATCACTGCGCCTGTTTACAAGATTGTAGAGGTTGATAATCGCTACACGTACGCTTCCGTATGAACGGCCGGGAACACTTGAAGCGTCAGCAACCTGTTTATCCTGCTTCGTGGAATCTTGTATACTGCCCGAAAATCTGCGATACCTAAACTAGTTTCCCCATCACCATTTCGTCTATTCAGCTCAATGAGGGCAGACATAGGCCGTTCTCAGTCCACCGGATCCAGAGCAGGACGCACATGGATCTTTAAACCTTTTAATTTAATTTAACGTGAAAAGACGAGCTTTTGGCTAGCTTGGTCCATAAAGGTGATTTTCATTGGCCGACTTGGTTGATCGCCTTTCCACGACGAGTAATTTGACTCACTTTCAACCCGTTTTCAGCCACGTTGAGCATTCTATCAATTAGGTTCCGTAGGAAGGACCTCGGACTTTGCCACATAGAAGGTCACTGGGTTAGCGCATCTCTGGTCTGCAAAGGTTGACCTTGCAGGGCGAAGACTTCACCAAGCTTCAGGTGGTCTGGTTTCCCATTGATTTACAACAGTTGAAGTATTTTCATTATTCGGATTTTTCTTTCCTCATCCCTCCCATGTACACAGGATTTTACCCACCGGGACATCTATGTCCGTAGGATACAAAGTAGGTACAAGGATGGAGTCAGCTGAAATTCAGCTGCCCGCAACGACGGGATTTCGTGTGGGTGAGTTCACACGTGACGAACAGGAAGCTTATCTGAAACCTGGAAGCGCTTCAGAGTAGATTGTTGGGCCAAACACACGCAGCAGCTCTCCGAAAAATGATTCGTCCCACAAGGCGGCTGGCAATTCTGTTTCACTTCTCTGGCTAGGTAGCATTTCGGCAATTCTTTTGCACAAAATTTGAAAGAATTCATGTTGTTTTTCACAAAAATGCTTAACATGCTCAGCCGAGAGTCCAATACATGAAAGGCAGCATTTAACATCACACACAACACATGTGAGTATATTTGCTCGATTTTCCGAAATGCTGGAACAAGTACAACAAGTTGGTTGATCTGGATTGTGAATAATCCGAGTCAGAGATGGAGACCAACTGTAGAGCACAAAGCGGTTGTAAGAACTCCGAATTTGGACAAAGATAAGACAAGTATTTATGAGCGGAAAATTCTGACACAGGAATATAAGTGAGTTATCTCGTAATGTCCACGAAATTATTACAATGCATGGAGGAATGCAACAAGAAATAATCATTAACATAGCTAGGAAAGGAGTAAATGGAGGTTCTAATCAGAATTGTTATGCTACAACCGATTCCCTTTCAATACACATTCTGTCCGGGCCATCTTTCAGATTATAGACAATTTGGTAAGAAGCACATGTGAAATGTGAGCTTACTGTTGTGACGTCTTGCTCACTGGTCGTATATATTTGTATATAGGATAGCAGTACAATTGTTCTGTAACTCATTACACAGAGCCAGCCAAAATCGAAGAATCCATGCATAACATTTGTTTGATGGCGTCGAGTGTCTGGACTCCCGCTTGCAAAAACACGAGTTACATCCACTACTGGGAATAACTCAAATGCTTCTGCATTCTCTCACATCCCGTAGTACTTAAGGACTGCAGTCATTTTGTGGGCAGTAGCCCACTACAGCTGCTGTTATCAAACTCGG